CACTTTTTTAGTAGTCATATATTCAGATTCTATGCGTAAAGACAGTCATTAACAGGAATGTAGAAAATAGGAAAGTTTCAATGTGGGAGATATAATTGTCAGGCACAGAAAAATCAGTGCACTGTATTTTGAACATGTCATGTGGAAGATGAGAAAGAGAAATCTGCTTAAAGAAATTCATGTCTCTGACATGGTCTCTAGGCATAAATTGTAGAAACGTATGATTTGAACACCACAGTATGAATAGGTTTAGTAAGATAAAGCTAAAAGACAGAGCACCATGAAGAACTTTACGGGAAAGATTATATCTCCTAATCCAGGAAGAGTCTGAATTCTTTATAAGAACTATTAAAACAAAGAGGACATGGCATCCACTGGATATTTATTGGTAACAGTGCTGAATTGCTTCAACACCCAGTCAGGAAACAACTAAAACATTCAAATGCAATTGAGAGTGTGCTAATGACCTTGAGAAAAGCAGGTAAACTTGCTGATTTAAAACTGACATCCTGTAACAGTGGCTTGGGGAATAAATGTGAAAGTTGTGGAGATACGGTATATTTTATTTTCAGAAGCGTGGAAGCGATGGCAAGGACATAAATATGTTGTGACTAAAGAAAGCTGTACGGTGTTTGGAGGTGGTTTGAAAGAGTGTAGTATTTACAGAAATATATAAATTTATAAGCAGGGGTTACAGATACAGTAGGAAGCAAGTTGAAAATACAGAGAGGTTTTTAGTACATAAAAATTCTTGAGAAAGTATCAGGTGATTGAATATAGAGCATGAACATGATTCAGTCTCACAGAGATGAGGATCTCCTTTTCACTGACAGCAGGGTATGTCAAGTGGTATGTTGGTGGAGAGTCACACTAGGGAATTATCACCGAATACCCAACTTTCTCTCTGGGAATTATGAAGGGAAGATTTGCTGTTCTCCAAAGAGTGTGGACTGGTGGATGTTCACTTGAAGATAAGGTAGAAATTTTTAGAATGCAGATGAGGAAGGCAGGATTCTATAGCTGTAGACCCCAGTTCAGCTAAAGTTCTAAATTAAGAAAGCAATCTCAAGGGAGACTAAAAATGAAATAACAGCGACTTTTCTTGCATTGTTAATATTTTACTTAAGTTCAACATGGGCTAGTAAATATCCTGCAGTGTGTTTATGTTCCATTATTTTATGCTAGTTTTCTATCTAATTCTATGGGTTTCAGTTCTGAGAATATCTATTCCAATATTTAGCCATGAACTACTAGATAATATTATATAGGTCCCTAGGCATTGGGCAGAACCTAATACTATCTGATTTTTCCATAAGTCTGTTTGAATATTTATAGATAGGAAATAAAGCATAAAGTCCACATAATGAGCACCGCTCTCTGTCTTACCAGGATCATATGGAAACAGGAACCTTCTCTGTTCGTCCAGCAGAGGTGAAACAGGCATTCTTGGAGCTATAAACTTTATGGTAAGTTTAAACTGAGCTGTGGGATTATCTAGAAGATGTGGACCTCTCTGGGGAAAATGCACAACCACAAAATAATATTCTCTCTGTTTCTATAAATACAGGTGATACCATGGAATCCCAGAAGGTTTTAAGTCACTTACTGAAATAAACAGTGGTCCCTAGGAACACTAAATGGTAAACAAAGGAAACCAAAGCGCTCATAAACAGTTGTGACTCCATAATAATGTGCTCTGTCCATGTATTCAACCATGCATGCAGTACCCACTAAACAATACAGTCTAAAATCAGTCAACTAATGATGATTTAAAGTATATAGAAACATACACATGGGTTATATGCAGAACCTTATTTTATATAAGGTATTTGAGTATCAGTATATTTAAAACTGAATAAAAATATAAAGTTAGACCTTCTCTGTGTTAATTAACATTTAATTGACAGCTTAGAATCACTGGAAGAAGCAATCTCAGTTATCTTTACCGGGTTGATTTATGGGTCATTCTGTGAGGGATTGCTTTGACTGCCGTAATTGATGTAGGAGGGTCCAGCCCAATGTGGGTGGCACCATTTCCTGGAAGGTGATCCTGGGCTGTATAAGATAGCTGGCTAAGAATGAGCCTGAGAGCAAGCCAGGAAGCATTCCTCCATGATTTCTGCTTCAAGCTCCTGCTGGTTTCCTGCCCTGAATTCCCTTCCTGATGACCATAACCTGGAAGTATAAGATGAAAAACCCTTGACTCCCCAAGTTGCTGTTGGTGTTTTATCACAGCAACAGAAGCAAGTTAGAACACTGTCCGAGGTGCTGATGAACAGAGAGGACTATCATTTTCTCTGGATTATCAGTGTTCCATAAGGGGAAGCAAGCAAATGATTGCCCATTCTCATATCATTTTGTCTTCAGCCTTCCAGTAGCTTTTCCTGAAGAAATGTGCCATCTCTTAGCTGCCTGATGTATGTATTCACTACCCCTCTTTTGCTGTTGGCTGGGGTCAATGAGGTGGAAGGCAAAGACGTGTGCTTCTGCACTTGCTATCCTGCGATGTTAAATTTGAGTGCCTAGACTTGTGGGGAAAGTTTGTTCAGACTTGCCAATGCGGATAGTTCACTAAAGACAACAATCTAGACATCTGATGTAGGCAGAGGAAAAGATCCCTGCCCCAGTGCCATTTCTTTTTATAGAGAAGCCCACTCTAGAAGAAAGACTGCTTTGTTTGCTTAAATACTGATCTTATTGTAAACCAATGTGCTGATCAATTGACCTATGTATTCATTTCTTTATTTTTATTATTTATATGCTTTCTTGTCTGAGAAATCACAATGGAAGAAAGTCTGAGGGATTTAAGCCCTGGAATTACTTGAGACTCCTGTCAAGTATTTTGAACGATATTTCAACAACAAAAATGAAATATTATGTACATTTTGACTCAATACAAAAGGATGAAAATTTTCACCATGCAAATCCTTCCCTGAAGAGTCACATCTTAAAATAGTAAACTGTTCCCTAATTATCTCTGCCTCCTTGTACTCCAGCCCTTGTATAATCTTCTCTTCAAGTGTAGGTAATAGCTGTGACTTCCTTGTAACCAATAGAATACAGCAATGTGATAGGACATCATTTCCAGACCCTAGCCTTCCTAGCTTTGATAAAGCCAGCTGTCATGTTGGGAAGGCCCAAATAGCAAAGAACAGATGGAAACTCTAGCCACAAAACTGAAACGGTTTAAAGTCGTTTTCGAAAGACAGCTTTATTAAAGTGTGTCATGGTTTGAATCTGGAAAAAAACAAAACACTCCAGCCACAACCAGGCAGGAAGTAGATGAGACCATCACCACTCAGTAGTAAAACACTGATGCCTTCCCTTCAACAGGCCACAGGAACTAATGGAATTCCATCACTAGTGATCATGAAAATTTAAACATACTTCCTTCTGTCCTGAGGCTTAAATGATACTCCTGCTTTTTTAAGAGGACTCAGATAAAACATATCAGTCTCCATACTTATAGAAACTGAGAAATGAATGCTTACAAATTTAAAGAAATATATCTTGATTGTTATTTAATACTCTACTGTCTCCGGTTCCCAGTGAGCATGGAAATACTTACAGACAGATAATATTTCCTTCTTTCCCAAGTGATATGCATGATTACTTATTGAGATTTTAGAATTCTGAGGACAAAATCTGTCCTTTTTTTGTGCATAAACTAAAATGCTCAGGACTCATCTCTCATACACTTTAGAAAAAAGAAACCATTATTTTTTGATTAAAACTTTAATAGGAAAGTAATCATATTCAGTAGGTGTACTTTTCTTAGATTATTGCTCATGATTCAATTACAATTACAAAGCACTGTGAAGTGGCACGCAGTTCCAGAGGCCAACAAGTATTTTTTTCTTTCTCTAAGCTTCTAGGTAGAAAATATTTTAGCTTTGTTGTGTTCAAATTTAAGTTTAAAATTAGCATGCAAGTTACTGGGTATCATTATGGCATTTTAAAAATAAAATCCATTTAATACATGATCTTCCAACCTCTTCTCTCCCACCTCCAGTTATTTCACTGTATTTTCAGGCCATACCGTTCTCAGTCTTGATTACTCAACCTTTATGTGGAAGCAGGAAAGCACCATAGGCAGTGGTCTGTGGACACAGCTGTGCTCCATCTAAAGTTCAGATATAAAATCAGGTAGGAGGTAAAAGTTGTCTTGTAGTCTGGGCCATAGTCCTCAAATCCTGACATCCAGCATCGGTAGACAGCCTCTTCTGCCCCATCCCCACAATTATTCTCTCCTTCTACACTTAGAGTGATTATCTTAACTTCCCATTTCTAGATTACTTTTACCGATAATTTGCTCTTATGATATAATAAAAATAAATGTTTAAATTGAATATATTATAGTCTATGTACTTTCACATCTAGTTATTCTCACCTTGTGTGTGAGACATTTATCCATGCTGTGTAGCTCGTTTTTGTTCTTACAACAGTGTGAGTACATCAGAATTGTTATTCTTTTCCTAATGAGCATGTTTGTGGTATTCCAGGTTTGGTTATAAGTTAGGAATGCTTTTATACAAGTTTTTGAGCACAAACAGGCAGACACACACACACACACACACACACACACACACACTTATTT